GAAGGATATTGGCCTCAAAACAACGCAGCTTGCATTGGATTTCAACCTCACGACGGGGGATATCCAATTCTCAGGCTCAACTTCACGACAAAGGATTTCGTTCCGACTCGACCTCACGACGAGGAGTTATTTCATATTTCAGTTCAAATTGACAAATCAGTCTTCATATCGGATTTCAACTCTACGACAGAGGATATTCGATATGGACGAAATTTGGTGTCTTGTAATCTTTGCTCTATTTTTGTTACACGATAATGAGCAAAGAGGGGCAGCTGTAGACACCTAATTTCGCCCTCATATTATTACGATCATACTACTATAATATATTTATATATTGATTTATCTCATTATAATTATATTATATGGTATGTATAACACATGTTTGTAACAGGTCCCATATACAACAAGTGCTAAGCCCAATACACAACAAGCCTGTTTACAAAAGAGGTAGCCCAACGGTTCAGGGCCTGAACCAACCTCCAAGCCCGGATTAGCTAGGGTTTTCGAACCCTAGCTCGCCCATCTTGTTCCAGCAGTCATCACCAGCGCCGCAGGGAACCTCCCATGAACGAGTTTCACGGCCGCACGTCTCATCACCAGCAACCCCGTAACATCCGGCGCATGAAGCAAGGACAACCACAAGCATTAGAATCCTAGTTCAAATAGGATGCTAAAAATAGGTTTTTTTTCAGATTATAAATAACCCATGTAATCAAACAAGGGGAGGGATCATCGGAGAACCCAGACCGAGGGAGAACCCACGAGGCATCACAACCAAAACTGAGAACACAGTGAAATAGACCACCACGGCGAACAAACCGAGCCATCACAAAGCCGTCAACAGAGAAAACAAATAGTAAGCCAAACACCACAAACAAGATAGCCAAACACCAACAACCGAACAAGAACCCAAAGAAAATCAATAAACAGTAAATCATTGAACACAACAAGCCAAAACCAAAAGCAGAGCAAAAGAAAAAACATCGGAGCACGTATCAAGAGGCCATCGGAAAAGCGAGAAGTCACCGGAAAGGTAAAACCGAAAGGGTTTTCTTTAGATCTACTCCGACAAGGGGGTTGTTTGGGTATTGAGTGTTGATTTTGGGTTCACGGGGACGTGAGGTTTATTTTGGTGGGGTTCGGGTTTTCATAGGCCGCCGGCAGTGGCGGCCGGCGCGGTGGCCTGAGTGGCGGAGGAGACACAAGGCGGCGACCGGAAATCGCCTAGGAGAGTTCTGGGAGAGTTGAGAGCTTTCTCTCGGCTGAGGGAGAAAGAATTTGAGAGTAAATGAAGATTATGAAACGAAATTCAGCTGGTTTGTATATATATAGCAGGGACCATTATGCAAATAGAAGATTCTTTAATTCTCTCCGCAGTCCCTGGTAGTTTAAATCGCATTTCAATCTGGCCATCACTTGTAATTTCGTCTCTGGATTCTCAATTCATTCAAATTGGTCACCTTTTACATTTTATATTTTGTGAATTAACCCTCTAATTTTGTTTTTTTTAACAGTTTGGTTTTAGTATCACTTTCAGTGCGCAAGGTCCAATTTAATTCATTCTGATCCTTTTATTTATTTACCTATTTGTTTTTCTAACATTTTCTAATTCCAAACTTTAACCTTTTTTATCTATTTTTATTGTTTTATTTTTATGTATTTTTCCCATATTACACTTTTCACTTTTTCCTCTTATTTTGTTTACTTTTAACGTTAACGTTTTTTATATTCGTTCTAATTATTACTTTAATATTATTTTATTTTCCCTATCTCGTTTTCTTCACCTTTTATCTTTTTATTCTTTTATTTATTTTGACTTTAGTATTTTTTTTAAAAAAAAAATTCTTGCCATTTGATTTATATTCATTTATTTATTTATTTTTTTTTCCTAATTCATTACTTATTTGTTATTTTTTTTTCCCTAACATCTTCGACTCATTGTTTTCAGAAATTCCAATTGATCAAAGGTAAGTGATTTGCATCGAGTTTTTAAATTTAAATTTAAGTTTTAAATTTTCGCAACTAAGACAATCGACAAATTAATTGGTATCGAAAGGGCGGTTCAAGGGTGCTAACCCTTCCTTGACCGTAATCGACTCCCGAACCCGACACGTTCTGGTATAACAGATCAGGTAAGATGGTGTCCGACCCACTAAATTCATTTTAAAATGGTCGGTGGCGACTCTAACCCAATCAATCCACGTCGAAGCCCAATTCCGGGGCCCAACCCGAAAGACGGTTGCGACAATACTATAAAATTAACATTATATAATTTTAAAATTCATCTCTAACCTAAAGTAACGGATATGCCATTGTCCACAACCTTCGTCATGTTAATTTTTCAAAGCTTATTCAATGGAATTTAGGAACTGTATATACCAAGAGCCCCTGTCTTTATCTAATTTTGACTCCGTCCCTAATGTTAAATTTATGATATGTCGTTGGGGTACGCGAGGTGCACATCGGCTATTGGGCGTGCCCGATCGGAAGGTGGGAGACGGATCAGTGTTGGTAGAAGAAAAGAAATTAGCAGGGAAGATTAGGGATTCCTTTTTTTTTTATTGCATTTGGTTGTAGTGGAGATGGAAATCGTAGACACATCACATAATATTGCAATGCAATTTCTTTTTTTTCAAAATAATACAGTCTTGTATTGTTGTTTGATTTTGGTGTAAATCCATTCTTCTTCGAGTTGAATATAGCATGAATATTAATATTTATTATAAGGATTAATACAAAAGTAAGTGTTGAAATTATATCTTTATCCTCGAATATGTGTCAAAATTAAATTTTTTTATTCATCTCGGTATCTAACGTTACAACTTACAAATGTTACCACTTTAAGTGTCCGGACCATCAATTGTGTTAATTTTCACTATTAAGTGATACGTGTCATGACTCGGTAATTTTACAATTTTTATTTAAAATTTAAAATTTAAAATTTAATATATATATATATATATATTTAAAAAACACAAAAATTTGAAATAATCACACTTTTGAAACCCTTAAACCCATATCGATCGCCATCATTTGTCGTTGACGAAGCTTCACTCGGTCTCACTTTCTCCGGCGATCAAAACCCCTATAAAATCATGATCGATCAACAATCGATCGGTGACGAATCTATGTTTTATATCTCACGAACCCTAATATGAAAATCGCAATCCCACATTACTTTGACAACCGATCGACAACAACTATGGCATCGTAAGACTAGGATGATGGTAGAGACTACATCTACAGTGATGATCGTGGTCGGAAATGATTAGGATTTAGGGATTTCGGGGATTTTTATAATTTAAGAAAAATTATGGTTTATATATATATATATAATAATATTTTTAATATTTTAAAAAAATAAATTTCAAAATCACCATATTATGATATGTGTCACTTAACGGAAAAAATTAACGCCGTTGATGGCCCAGACACCTGAATGAGTCAAAAAATAGTTTAGACACCTATTCGAGAAAAGAAATATTTATTTTGGTATTAAGCCTTATTATATATTCAGAAGAAAAAATCAGTTGAAAATTTTATAAAATGTTAACTATTAGTGACTTGATTATAATATTTAAATGATTAATGGATCTGATTGGAAAAAATTTGTCAGTTACCCTTAATATTTAAGAAAAGGCCCAAAGTATCCCAACACATAAAATTGGACTCAAAGTCGAAATTCAAATAAATTAGTTGAATTAAAATCCCATACGAAACTTAAGTGCTAACAGTGACCTCTTTGTCCATTGTTGATAAACATGATCAGGAAAAGGATTGAAGAGTAGCAAACATGAACATCTAAATTATCTACTCATTCTCACTTGAGGATACAAGATTTTCGAAGATGATGTATAAGTCCTCTTTAAATTTTGGGTAAACTACATATTTAGTACCTAAACTATTAGTTTTGATCCGTTTTAGTACCTAAACTTTCAATTTTTTTGGAAACCATAACAAACATTTAGTTTTCATTTTAGTACATATGTTAAAAATTTAACGTTAAGTTTTGAAACAAATTGAAAGTTTAGGTACTAAAACGGATCAAAACTGATAGTTTAGGTACTAAACGCGTTAAGTTTTTAATGGTGGGGTAGTAAAATGAAACAAAAACTAAAAAAGAGGTATGATTTAAAAAAAATGAAAGTTTAGATACTAAAACGGATAAAAACTTATAGTTTAAATACTAAATGCGTAATTTACCCTTAACTTTTTTATGAGGTATATTTGAATTGTTACATAGACTACGAGAGCAGTATCGTTAAAATCTTAATAATTCAATCATTTTTCTATCGAAAAAGTAGTAATAATTTGACTGAATGTTAAAATTTGAGGGCTAAAGTGATAAGAAAGTAGGACCAAAATGAAAACATAGACAAACGTTAGGAGTTAAATGCGTCATTATGCCTAAATGTTTTTTGGTGCTATGACTGATTATTTGTAGTTAGTTAAGAGGTGAAGCAGGCAAACAAAAATCTCTCTTCCAATCTTATAAAACTCTCCTTTTTTAAATTGTCATTTAAGCCACCTAACAACACACAAATTGAATTTCAATCCTCCCAACGTCGAAGTATTTTATAGCTTTCAAACAATCACAACCCCTCACCTTTTTCCCCCTGACTAATCTATACCGACCTGGGTCGCATACTTGATTGGTAAGTAAGTCTCTTAGCGGGAATTTTTCTACATACACAATGGCTTGAACCTGAAACTTTATTTAAGTGATATCAAGTTACTTACCGCCTAAACCATCCTCGTTGGTAACCCCTCACTTTATTTCCCCCTTCTATCTAACATCATTCTAGGTAATATAAAAATTTTAATCCTCAACTTTTGTATTTTTTTTTAAATTTAACCTTAATTTTTACTAAATTAACTGAAATTTAATCATAGAATATAAACATGGATGATCAAATTCATAATTGTACACTTTCTGCACTCTCCATAGACAAAACCTACACACACCTCTCTTTATAAACACCCCCAAGTCTTAACAATCCATGCATAAAGCATTTGTTGTTAAAGTTGAGAAGGATGGGTTTGCTGGCATGGTGCTGCCCGGCATGCGTGTGTGTGATATGCATGATTCTGGTGGCGGCCACGGTGGGGTGGTTGACCGGCTTCGGAGCTTTCCAGAACGGTGGTATTCACGGTGGGGATTTTTGTGATCCTGATTACTCTTCCTGTGCAAGGCCTTTCTTTACTTACCCTGCTCCTCCTCCTTCCTAAATCCCATGCCTTTTTTTTTTTTCATCTTTTCATTTTGGTGTTGTTCATTTCATATAAAAATAATTACAAGCAACCAAGATTGTTTCTTTCTTTGTCGTGCATGATTTTTAGTGTCTTTGATCAAGTATATTCAAGATGTTGTACGTATAAATGTAATTAAGTATTCTAAGTTTTATACAATATATCTGCACTGAGTCCCAGGAGCAAGTACGTATTTGTGGTAGTTACAAGATAATATATGTTTAGAAGTTTTTTAATCTATTAATACAATGCACGTACAGTCGTACCTCATGCAGACACGGTTTCTCGAATTCAAAATCTTTAAAAAAATAACATTCACTTTTATCACTGAATCTATTTAATGAGTTAGATTTGAAGGACACTTTAATATAATATAGGAATAAACACTATAATTTGACCCACGATTGAAGATTAAAAGTTTAGGGAGAAGAGATGGCCAATATTTGGGTAAAAGAAACCCAATAAGTTAGGCGGTAAAAAAATAGGCCTATTAGGTCATCTTCAAAATTAATTTGGACTCTGCGATAAACGTCATGTCCACATGATGAGTTTGTCCATAAAATATTTTTTTTATTCAAACTCATCGCGTCGAGGTGATAAGTTTAAAAAAATATAAATTTTTTATTAGAATTTTACCATGAATGAGTGACAAATTTCAATGAAAAAATATATTTTATTAAAACTCGTCATGATCACGTGACGAGTTTCAAGTCACTGTTACAAATGTCGTAATTCCTATAATAAAATATATGGTATCGTATTGGGCTAAATAATTAACCCGTCTGGGCCAATTTTACCCAAAATTTGAGCTTCAAAATGTTTTTTTTAAATAGACCAAAAGCCCATCTCACAAAGAACAAACAAGACTTTAAAAACGGCCTAACCCCACAATTCAAAGGTACCCAACCCAAAACTCTAAAAAAAACTCCTTTTTGCAAGCAAAGTTGGTACACTTTGCCATCGTTTTTATGGATGGATTAGGTCAAATTTGTAAAGAAAATTAATTTTTTTCCGTGTGTCCATCTTGTAATAAAACTCAACCCTTTAAATTTCAATTTCAATCCCCCAAACGTCCAAGTAATTTCAAGCTTTCAACATTTCTCTTCCGGATCCAAAGCCCACCCTATAAATCCCTTTCTTCATCTCTATAAACACCCCAAGATCACTGACAATTCCCCAGAATTTTAAAGAAAAACAACCCCATAAAGCGTCGTTCTTGAAGGATGTGTTGCGGGAGAATATGCATGCTGTGCACTTGCTTGGTCCTAGTGGTGGTGGCGGTCGGGTTGCTGTTCGGTTTCGGGGTTTTCAAGCATGGATTTCACAAGCTCCAAGATACATTCCATGAGGATATCTGTGACCCTAAATTATCTTCTTGTGGAAGGCCTTTTCTGGGTTATGCGGATCCTCCTCCTTTCTGAATTCCCCAGTGATTGTTTTTTGATTTCATGTTGTGGTTAGAAATTATTGGGATTTGCTTCTTTGTTTGCTGGGATTTCATCAAATTTACTTCTACTGTGATTTGTTTGTTCATATTTTGGTATGATATATAATCAAGTTGTGATTCTCTTGAACTCTTTTTTAATGGTAGTATTCATCTGAATCATCTCCGGTAGCATCTATCTACGTTTGTTTAAGTGATAAGTAATTTAATATCGATTAATCATGTCTCGAGTACGTTTATACAGAAAAATCTCTGTTAAAAAATCACCCATTAAAGTCTGTGGACGACTTGAATCGGATTAAATTAGTCAAGACGATGTTTTATACGTCTGTTTAAGTGATTAGTAATTTAATATCATTTAAACATATCTCAAATTTGAGTATTTGTATATATAGAAAATTTTCACCAAGAAACTCACAAATCAAAATTAGATGTGCTACTTAAATTGATTCGAATTAATCAAAATGAAACCTTAAAAAATGGAGAGGATAGCAAAAAAAAAATTCATCTTTAGCATCAATGCAAGATTAGGAGTTCTATAGCCCCAATCTCAAGACCACTATATCATCAAAACAGAACAAACGTGCTCTGTTTTGATGGATTGTGTGATGTTGTTTAAAGGTCAAATTATGATTTTGGTGTCTCTGCTATTATCAATTTTAGTATTTAGTCATCCACTTTAAATTGTTAAATATTATATATATACATACATTTACAAATAGTTTAATCATTAATTCAAGTACTTGACATAAATGATTGTTCTGATTTTAAGAAACAAAATAGATTCATCTTACTTCGATAAAAAAAAATTTGTTAAGGAATGTTTTAAATAAAATTTACATTTTTAGAAGTAGTGTTGCAAAATTTGATAAATTTAGTGATTATTTTATAAAATTTTGATAAAACATAAGGATCATTATGATAAATTGAACGATTGTTTTATATAGTTGGATAAATTTAATAATTAATTTTTAATTTTTAAAATTTTAATAATTAAAATAAGACTTAAGGGTAACTTATACCCTTGTAGTAGATCCAATTTATTATTTTCACTATATCATATTTTTGTATCAATTTAACCTTCAAAGTTGTTTAATTGTATTATATTACATCATACACCTAACTTAAAACCCTAAATTCTAAAATCTAAACTATAAACATTAACACCCTAAACCCTAACCTAAAACCCCAAACAATGGAAACTATTTTAAATAATGATGCAATTAAACACTTTACAGGGTTAAATTGATGCGAAATAATGATAAGGATAAAAAATGATAAATTGAGTCTATTACAAGGACAAAAACGACCCTTTTGCCTTAAAATAATTATTTCAACATGGCACGTATCAAGCGGCCTCTATGGTAAAGAAATTGTTGTTATTCTTTGACATCATGAATTCAAGCACTAGGAAAGTTAAAGGTGTAAGCGTTTAATGTCAAATGATTGAAAATTATCTTTAAACAAATACTACCTTATACTTACCCCAGATTAATAAATAAAATATTTAAACGTAGTTCAATTATATTTGATGTATTTTGCTTTAAAAAAATGCATTGATATTTTAATGAAATTAAATTAAAATATAGAAATTAAATCTTTAAAAGTAGCTAAAACGTCCATCCAAAATCCTAACTTACGAAGCGTACACAATTGTGAAACAGAGAGGGATGTCTTAATGGGTAATCAATCCTTAAACGTGTAATAATATGAGAAGTTACTTTTCAAATACCCAACTTTATATCATCAAATGCAAACCACCACAACTGCTTGAATTTTTTGTTTGAATTAATCACTGGTATCCGATCTATTGACTGATTAATACAAATCGAGTATTGCAGAGTCGAGAACGACCCTCTCAACCCAGTTTATTCCATTCACAAACGCCATGGTTCAAACCACTAATCTTACTTAAAAGATCTAGTGTCTCGTCCCACTAGACCAACTAGTGATTGGTAATGCTTTAATCCTTTGTCTTCACATGTTAATGTTTAAGAGTTTTTGTCCTAATAAAACACATTCTCTACTTCATTTAAAAGCAAAATACTTTTAAAACATTGATTTATGCAAAACTTTTATTTTTTTTCATATTTTTTAAATAATTTTAGACGATTAAAAAGTAGTATTTTTTAAAATTTTTTTGAGTCTATGAATGAACAACTCATACCCTGTAAATGTAACTATTCAAACACAAATCTTTTAAGAAAAATATTATTCTCTTTTATTTCCTAGATCACTCAATGGATTCAAAATCAATCCATTCTAAACAATCAGAACAATTACCAAAAGTAGATAGATCAATATGATAATAATAAATAAACGTTATTTTGATCAGTTGAGACGATGTAAAATGTAATATTGAGAAAAAAAAATAAACAAAAACAATGATCAAATGATTGAAATCGTGTTAAAAGAGAGAAAAATGTCATTATATAGTTATTAAATACTAAAAATAAACGGAAAACAAATGTGTGATATAAAAAAATAATAGAAAAAACAAAAAATACCACAATAATGCCTAACACAAAAAATGATGTCATTTTCTACTAAGGAAAGCATGGGTTGGGTTTTCGGCCAACTCAATCTGATCCAAAAATTTTATAACTCTACCCAATCCAACTTGAGTTTAGAGTAATTTCACCTAACCTAAAATTCGACTCGATCGTTGAGATAAAACCCGGCTCTGACTTAAAATAAAATAAAATAATTAATTTTATTTAGTTAATAGAGACTTAATTGAAAAAATAATATAAAGAGATGTATTCTTGTAATTGTCCTTGAATATATAAGGTATTTTTATATTAATTTTTAGGTCATATCGGGTTGAATTTTTCACCATAAATCTGAATCCGAACTTTTTTTTTTAAAAAAAAATTGACTCGATCAAGTCAGGTCGAGTCGAAATCCATCAGTTCAAGTTCCGTGCTCATCCCTACTACTAACTAAAGATGAAAAAAAAAGATAAATGAGGCTTTAGAAAAGAAAAGAAAACCTAAGCGACTGGGGTCCGAAAATATTTCATTTAAATACTTAAAGATAAAAAACATAGTTTAAACATTTATTTATTTTTAATTAATCAAATCGATTAAAAAACATAAACAAACACAACCTAAAATATTAACCCAAAGTGATAAAAAGTTTAAAATCTAAATAAATGGCAAAAAGCACCCCAAGCTCCTACACTTTAAAAAAAAATGTAATGTGACCCTTGTATTATTTTTTTCTCAATGTGATCTTTCAACTTAGGAAATAAACTTAATGTGTTCCTTTGACTAATATTTTTTTATTGTTGACCGTTACAGTATTGACGTGACGATCTACGATGTTAATAAGATAATTCACTATGATTGATGACATGACATATGAACTAAATTAATTTTTTTGATTTTCTTTGAGGGCCGAATTGTGATGGGCTAGCTTAGACATTGGGCCTCATAAATCCTGACAAACGCTGTGCAGTCAACTATAATTTCAAAAAGCTGAGCTGAGCGTTGTGGGTATGTGCTATAACCTTCTTCCTTTTTTTGCACAAGCAATCCCTTTGCTTTATAAGTCATCATGGCACAATTGAATTAGTCCTTGAAATATTCCTCCTTTTTTATGTGGGAAAAGAGTATGGGGGGAGTTTGCAAGTTTATGTTCCATGTTACTCGGGACTTGGGTGTATGTTGGACATGGGTATGTACCCCACACGAGTACGGTTAAATTTTTCTAATTTTTTTCCCCATGTATTTGGAGGCCCTTAGAGGTTCTACCCCCTATCCGTGCTTCGAAATCAAGTGTCGACAACAGATGCTAAAAGAAAAATCAAAGAGTTTGAGCGACATAGTGACATCATTGTCTGGCTTATTGAGAATGGTCGATGATGTTCACTAGATGTTTTCTTCTCTATTCTTTAATTGGTCGTGTTATTATATTTGTCTCTTCATATGACTTCAAAACATACTATGTTCATCTTGCTCGGCTGGTGTTGACCCCTCCACAGATTGCTCATCGGGTTGGCCAGTCAGAGATTCTGGGACGTATACATGTTGCTCCAATTAAGGTAGGATGCATTATGATTTTCTCGTATAACAATATGTTTAATTTTCTTTCTTTTTGGTTACTTCCTTTTAGGAAAATTTTCTGATAAGTAGTCTTATCCTATGTGTTGTTTATCAGCCTATAACTGTCATTATGTAACATGTTTATAATTGATAATATGAATGCATCCAACTTCTTGGTTTGTTTCGTGTTATTGTAGATTGGAAATATATTTTATCAATGCTCCTTCGTGGTTCTGGACTCTCCCAATACGGAGTTTCTCTTTGGATTGGATATGTTACGCAAACACCAGGTACCTTTAGCTCTGCTTAATTTCCATACATATCCATCCGTTTTAGTTCTTAAATTTCTTAGATATTTATGACTCGTGCAATTTGTACAGTGTATTATTGATTGGAAGGAGAATGTTCTTAGAGTTGGAGGAGAAGTTTCTGTGCCATTTTTGCCAGGTTGGTGACTTTAATTGTAAAATCTGCAAGTTCGTGTGTTCTCAGTTACCATGTGTTCATTGATGTACCGTCTTTTTCGGGACTTTGTTCTACCAAATTTCTTTTCTTATAATGGAAGTTAACAAGATATTTACTCTTTTCAGAAAAGGACATCCCTTCCCATTACCTTGATGAAGAAAGGAATCTGAAGCAAGCATCCAGCTCCCCCTTTTCTATCTGCTACCGCAGATTTCGACTTTCATTCAATTGTGCATGGATTGCAGTTTCATTCAATCTGATCGTTTGTGATTCTTCAGACGAAAACTGGAACCACAGAGTGGAATGCTAGCGTGCAATCCGGAGGTCCACCATCTGGTTAGTAATTGGCATCCGACCCATGTTGTCATCGCATGCTATAGGTTGCTTTTATTCCAGAAATTCATCCAAGTTTATTGTTAAATTGGTGTGTGTACACACACACACACATGATATATACATATATTCAGCACTAATTTGTTTTCCTTGAGCATGATTTTATCGCTCGAAAAGAGGTGTCACAGAAGTCCTCTTCAAGTGATTCTTATTCCAATTCTGACATTTTCTTTCTTTCTTTGTTCCCAGGGGGCGCATATGCTGATGTAACACTGGTATGCCTACCATCTTGGCAGAATATTTCTTCATCCTGAGGCTGAACATTTATATGTTCCAAGTTAAACTGCTGTCCTAAAATTTAGAGTTCTTTGATTTCCTGCAGAGACCCAATTTTGAAGCCAAAGTAGACAAGCTTGTTGAGCTGGGGTTTGCAAGAGAAATGGTGATAGAAGCTCTAAAATTATGTGATGGCAATGAAGAGCAGGCTGCTGGGATTCTCTTTGGAGGCTAGCCATGATCTTCCATTTCTTTGTCTTAGAAATAATATTATTGTTCTTCAGTTATTCAAAACAATTTACACTTTCAAAACTCTGTACTTGAGATGTTTATGCATAACTTAGTATTGCAATTCCAAAGAAAACTTGAGCTGCTCATGTTTCCCCAATACCATTTATGGTGGTGCTTTCCATAGCTATGTTCAGTGGTAAAATGAGTGTTCTCTCAAAAGGTTCCGGGTTCAAACCATTATGTTTATATAATATGTGCACTTCAAGCTGAATTCAACTAATATGTGCACTTGAAGCTGAATTCAACTAATATGTGCACTTGAAGCTGAATTCAACTTTTAGAATCGTATTCAATTAAGTTTGAGCCTCAGCCTGATTGTAACCCTAACAATAATCAATTAGGTTCCATTGTGATAAATTCAACAAGAAGCATTATAAGGGTAGTTTACAAAAATATCACTCAATGCCACACTCTATCATGTAGATAACTCTTAAAAATCCACTACTCAGAGAACAAAATCTCATAATATAATCGAAATAACAAAGATCAAAACCTTTCTGCCAATCTAGCAGTAACTTGTCTAAGTTTCGAGTAAACTTTCCCGGCAGGGGAACCTAAAATGAGGCTGCAAAGAGAATCCCTAGCAATCTTGATGTTGGCAAAAGATCCAAGTATATGAATCTTGGTGTCAGCAATGACAATCCTAGTCTTCGTAGCATTCTCGATGGCAAACTTCGTTTTACCGCCTTTCCCGGACAGTCTTCCTATGGCGCGAGACAAGTGCTCTCCTCTAAGTGTTTTGACATCCTTGATTTCAAAGGATTCCACATACAGCTCATCCAATCTCAAGAGAGCAATGGCATCTGGAACATCAAAACCCAACATGAAAGCCTGCACAAAGTCAGCACACTTTTGAAGGTTACTAATGTCGGGAGTCTCGGGTCTCGTTTTCAATTCAACCTTCCGAGCTTTGAGATTCATACGGATGTCGACCTTCATCTGTTCATAAACCGGAGTATAGATATCCATCCAGTATTTCTTGAGAGGTGAATACCTATGAGGCGGAACCGAAACCTTCCTGAACTGGACTCGACCATCTGACATCTCATGAGCCTTAAGAGGCTCGAATTTCGGCTTCGGGGCAATGCATTTGGTTCGGGTTTAGATTCAGAAGGCAGTGTTTCAATCTCCATGGTGGCAGGTGCTTCGGCAGACATCTTAACTGAAGCTAGTTGGAGTCTGAATAAGAAATTACAAAAAACACTCAAGCTAATGTCACCATCATAAATTATAAGAAATACCTCTAAGCATGGATATAAAAACCAAATTCATATCCAATACCCAAAAGAACAAATCTTGCATAGACCCAAATTCAAAACGGAAAAAAAGGTAATCTTTTCGGAAACACCGATACATATAAATGAATCCCAAATCATTGACGAAGAAATATAGGAATCAAAAGGTTGAACAGACCTGGACTAGATTTGAAAGGCTAATTCGGAAGAATTGGTCCTTCAAAAGAGAGAAGATCGGTAGGGTACACCGAAGTCTCAATCGACGTTAGCTGGGAGTCTGGAAACAGAGATGGGCGATAAGCAGCGGCAGGCAACCAGGTAGAAAGAATAACTGCAAGCTGAGCATCGATAGCTTTTAAACCTAAAATCCTGGGGAACTTCGAAATTGTGCTTTCAATTTTGGGCTTTGATTAAATGAACTCTCTTTTTGTGGTTTTTTTTGCCCCAATATAGGGCACCCACGTAATTATTTAATCTAATAGGATACCTTAAAAATTAATTGGGGATCTACGACATTTTCTACAATTCAGGACGAATTCTTCACGTCAAGGTGACGAGTTCCATGATATTTTTTTTTTATATTTTGAGCCTAATATTTTAATATTTCCTGTAAAACTCTTCACCTCGAAGTGACGAGTTCAATTAAAAAATTATTTTTCAGATTATTATGCGAATTAAGGTTGAAAAGAAAAAAATACACATGAACTCATCACGTCGAGGTGATGAGTTATGCTATATTTTTTTTTGAAAAGAAGTACAAACTTAATACACTATATTAGACTTTTAGAAATGTACATTAGGAAGAAAAATACTACAAACTTAATACATTAACATTAGAACATAAATAAGATTAAACTTACGAACACCATAAACATTAAATAAAATCATTGACATAGCAATATTGATTAAGAAGTTTTAATCTTCGTAATCAGTAGACTCGTTAGAGGTAAGATTAAGTTTTTCAATTCTCCATTCTTTTTGTTGTTGTCGTTCACGTATGAATTGGAATCATGCTTCTGGGTCTTCATCATTTATATTTATTTCTTGATCATTTGTCTGAGTTGGTGGGATATTCGAGCTGGAATCAACATCCTCAATGGTACGAGCAAGGTCGAGATCATCGAACTCTACAAACAAATCGACATTAGACAAAGAGTGATATTAATATGTCTCAATCATTCCAGCAATGTCTACATCATCGCTTAGATGAAACCTCGTGCATGATAATGAAAATTTATAATATAAGGAAGACACTCTTCTATTGCTGTCGAGTAGAAGTCTTGTTTCTATACTAAACTTCAACTCGTGTAGTTGAATGCTTTTTGGGAAACACATGATCATAAATTTGCAATCGTAACAAACAGTTGAACAAATAATTGACATATTTGAAAAAAACTCAAAAACAGTAGAACAAATAGTTGACATATTTGAAAAAAAACTCAAGCTTTGAAAGTGAAAAATTAAAGGTGTTTTGGTTTTTGTTTTTTTTAGCCAGAGTAAAATGGCTTTCAACTCACACATATTGATAGTTGATGAAGTGATTAAATGAGCATTGAAAAGTTGGTGAAATGAGTCATTATTTGGCCTATGATAAACACACGTTTTTTCTGATATGAAGTGATAAATGAACTACAAAAATTTTTCTGATTTGAGTTGATACATCACTGAAAAGTTGCTGAATATGATAAGCCACCACTATTTCACCTGTTGTCTGATATGTTGTTTATATTATACATTAAATGACCTCTAAAAAGTTACAGAAGATGATAATGCATCACTATTTGGGACAATGCATTATTTTTGCAATAAATGACATCTGCATTATTGCTGCAATAAATGCCTACTGAGATGACATTTCACTGGAGAGTTGTTGAAGAGCACGAGCACGAGATTCAACTAAGCGATGAGGTTGAAAACATAAAGGTTCAAACTGTACCACCAGTAACACGCTCTCCACCATTGCGAGCTAGCAAGCGAATCAAGCAATTGGCTCGAAGGACACTCATCATTCAAGGTGATGACCTTTACTACTAACCCATTCACTTTGCATGCATTGAGGACAATGCTCCTATTGAGTTTGGAAGGGTTGTTTTATAATTACTTGCATTCATTTAGTCATCTAATATAGTTGCATATATTACTTACCATGACTTTTACTGGATTAAGCTGCTTAGATTTATTTAATAACCAATGATGAATTTTGTCATTGTGCTTAATTGATAGAACCTTTAATTTTAGGATTTGCATGGAAAATACTTAAAATTTCACTATGATGCTAAATATAGTTTGACAAGGTTGTGACTTGTTGATGAAGTGAGACTTAGTGAACTTAGGTTGCTTAAAATTTGGGTAAATTAATAATAATTTCTTGTTAGAAATACCCAAACCGGCTCTAGTTGTTACACAGTCAAGAATTGCTAGAGGTTCTCGAAACCAGTTCTAGTTGTTACCCATTCAAGAATTTCTAGAGATGTTAAATCGGCTTTAGTTGATAAAAATTAAGAAATTGCTTACTGTGTTGAGGTGCCCGAAATTGGCTCTAGTAAAAATTAAATGCCCTAGTTATTAATTTGATGAAACCTATTGTTCATTTGGAATCATATTAGTTGACTTGTACACAACTACACACACATTGTCACGAGTATTATAGTTTGATTCTGAGAAATTTATGTACTATCAAAAAAATCAAAAGGTCATCATACTTTGCGCCACGATTATGAGGATTAAATTGTAAGATGAAACATGTTTTTGATATTTAGAAAGTCTTGGCAGATAGTTATTAGTTTGCATTGTTTGAGGACAAGTAATAATTCGAGTTTGGGGGTATGTTAAGTGTGTAAAAGTACTAATTTTCCTACCATTTCCCATAATTATTACTAAATTCAAGTTCAATTTATTTGCATTATTGGTATCTCATGCACAATTACATAATTGTCGTTCACTGTCGAGTTGATATTATATTTTACTCCTTTTTGTGGAATAGATGTTGTGGTGTGTGTTATTTTGTGTAGGATAATGCTGACTGGATAAATAAACATCATCTATGATAAAGCACAAGGGATAAAACCTAAAAGATTGAATTTCCACGCAGAGTTTAAAAAAAGAGAAGAAGTTTTGTTCACAAAGAAATTTAAAGATAAGAGAGAATTAATAGCTCTTTTATTCGAATTAAAACTCTTCTCCAACAAGAATCAAGTGAACGAACATATCTTCTATATAAAAGAAGAGAAGACGCACAAGAAGGCGGGTCGACTAGAGAGAGAAAGGATAAATGTCTTCTTCTTCTTTTTCTTCTTCTTCTTCTTCTTCTTCTTCTTTTTTTCTTGATTCATGTTGAAAAATTTTTATTTTGTATTTCTTTTGCACCCAGCCATAAACTAAACTAAATTGGCTTGTGTTATTGGGTTTTTGTGGTTGTGAAAAATGTTTGGATTTGTTTAAGTTCTTGATTGCCTTTTAAGTTCAAAGTTTGTTCATTCTTGGTTCTTTTAATTGATTTCGAGTGAATTGGGAGAGAATCTTGAAATTTATCCATTTATCTAATATTGGGAGAGTTAGATTCAAGAAACGAATGAGCACGGTCTTCATTCAAACAAAACGTTGGTGAAGGTTAATCCATCTTAGGGATAAAATTCAAATTTCAATGGCTAAAAGGAGTGCAAGATCGATTGTTGTTCACCCATGGTTAACCTAGGGATCTATTATCAAGCCATGCATAAGTGACAAGTTCTTTGAGTTAGGGATAACAAGAAGATATTGAAGAACGCTTCGTCGAGCTT